TTTTTCAGATCAATGATAATTGTAGATATTTAACAGTAACTCTTTCAGATCAATGTTAATTGTGGATATTTAACAGTAACTCTTACAGATCAATGTTAATTGTAGATATTTAACAGTAACTCTTTCAGATCCATGTTAATTGTGGATATTTAACAGTAACTCTTTCAGATCCATGTTAATTGTGGATATTTAACAGTAACTTTTTCAGATCAATGTTAATTGTAGATATTTAACAGTAACTCTTTCAGATCAATGTTAATTGTGGATATTTAACAGTAACTTTTTCAGATCAATGTTCATTGTGGATATTTAACAGTAACTTTTTCAGATCAATGATAATTGTAGATATTTAACAGTAAATCTTTCAGATCAATGTTAATTGTGGATATTTAACAGTAACTCTTTCAGATCAATGTTAATTGTGGATATTTAACAGTAACTTTTTCAGATCAATGTTCATTGTGGATATTTAACAGTAACTTTTTCAGATCAATGATAATTGTAGATATTTAACAGTAAATCTTTCAGATCAATGTTAATTGTGGATATTTAACAGTAACTCTTTCAGATCAATGTTAATTGTGGATATTTAACAATAACTTTTTCAGATCAATGATAATTGTAGATATTTAACAGTAAATCTTTCAGATCAATGTTCATTGTGGATATTTAACAGTAACTTTTTCAGATCAATGATAATTGTAGATATTTAACAGTAACTCTTTCAGATCAATGTTAATTGTAGATATTTAACAATAATATCTTCAAATCAATTGAACAAATGAACAGAACAAAATAAGGTCAGGGCCTCAATACGCTTCAATTTAACAAACTTATGTTTAACAGTCTTTCTATCAAGGTCAAAATCATTAGAGTAAAGGTGAAATTACACAACCAAAAAAAAAGTTTTAAAAAGTTGATCGACTAAACATGAAAAATGTGTCATTACCGCATCAAACTGTTCCATAACTTAATGTCGGTTGACAGCTACAAATACATGGATGATTCTAATCTTGTAGTCAGTCACTTTTAACCAATTAACTTAAATGATGCAAATACAAGCACTAAACGATACTATTGTCAGAACTCTTAAATGGGATCCATTAAAGTTAATAAGGGGAAAAAAAGATGATTATTTTATGAATAGAAATTGTTATAGTTTTTGTTATTGTTTCTTGACAAAAAATTAACAGTTTTTACACTATGGGAATATATTTGAAGCTGCAGCTCTCCATTGAGGAATAGTTTTACAATCAACTCTACATAATTTTATTTTAAAAGTACAATGCATACAAATTTCATATAAATGTTTAAACAGCTGAACCTATTCAATTTGTGTATAATTTGTCAAATCAACTATTAATAAGCTGTGATGCTAAAGATCTGAGAGCACTCTTGTTATGAATAAGCTACATTAATGTAACAGGTTTCAGAAACAAAGACAACAGTTTTACGGTCCTGACTAAATATTCTTGAGCAGTGAACCAATGGATTGAGAATAGAGAATAGAATTTCTGCAATAGATGTTTTTATGTGTTCGGGACAGACCATTACAATGTAGATTTTAATTTATGTGGATGTTTTTTTTAATTTTTATTTTTTTAGTCATTCTCCCTGTGGAATTTCATTGTGTTTAACAATATCACGTCAATCAAACATTGTATGGCCTTACACATACATTTATGGATTTTGTTTCCACAAAATAAGCAGTTTCCTCACACTATTTCAAGCAATGTAGAATCACTTTAATTATAAGTGAATCTCCAAAAAAAAAATTTATTATGGTACAACCATGGTTCAAAACAATATCAATGCTGCAGTGACCGGCTCACACCCATTTTACTAAGGGCATGACTTATAAGGAAAGGAGGAAGTCTGGTAAAACAAAATGGCTGGCAAGCAAGAAACTGCTCTTCCTAGTCTAGACTATTACTAGAAAGTAAGGTCTGCAGTAAAATACATGTACATTCATTATTATATGAGCACACACACTTCAAAAGAGAGACCTGGAAATACTATAAAATACTGTTTTTACTGGGGCAAAGGCACTCTTGCAAGAACAAAGTTTTGCAAAATTCACTGTGACTTAACAAACCACCCCCTGGGTAATTTCACTGCTACAAAATTGGGTGATTTTAACAGACTTATTTATGAGACATATTTATTTAATTTTAATTGTGCATTATTTACAGGTAACAACACATAGAACAAATTGTTCATTAAAAGAACCACCATATTATCAAAATCTCTATAGCTATCAAAGCCATACTATGTACAGCTAAACTTTTCGCAGTTGCAATCAATGGCAAAGGGTAATTTTAAACCATTAGAAAACATGTCATCACCAACAGAAGAATAAATTAAAACTCGGGATCTGAAAAATTAGAGTTTTTCAAAAAGCTATTCTCTTCATTTGCAAAGTAGCAAAACCATTTTTTGGAGGTTTTAGATAAAGCCTAGACATCAGTGAATAATTTATAAATGAAATGCTGATATAGGAGATATGTCTACTGGATAATTTAATGATCAATAATTCAGCCTATCGAATATAACCAGTACAGTGGAATTTCTCTTCAATGCACTGGGTTGTACATAATTTATTATGATTATTTCAAGTAACAACAAGCCAATGTAAGCCTGCAATTAAACATGCTCAGACCTACATTATGCTGAGTCACCAAGCACCTTTGTAATAGCCCTGGAACTAATCAATTTTCAGAGTACTAACCGCTGTCACCCAAGGCATTAAAATCAAACTGGAGATCAAGGTACTATATTCATTCTGGATTGAAGGTTCACAGAGTACTTGTTGATTTTACTTCGCATTCTCTAGCTGACATTTACCATTAACTTCTAATATTTAACTAAACCAGCTATCACTCAGTAAACTAAATCAATCAGTTAATACCAGATAAGATGGCAGTTAGAGTCTTTCTGTTTTGTATTTTATTATTATGCAATATGGTCTTGATAATGGGGAGTAAATTATTTGCAAACTGGGTCACAATATGAATCATTGCATTGGTTTAAATGAGATAAAACAAAAAAGCTATATATATTCTGTTGTTGTGTAAATATATTTGAAGTTAGATTAAGCATGGAGGTCTGTCTTTTACCTCCATGGATTAAGCAAGTCATATTGCCAAATTGAACACAATTTAAATATTATATAAATATTAAGTCAAGATCATCAACATAGTATGAAAGTTATTATGCCTTCATCATCAATAATGTGTAATTGGATATTAACGAGTTAATCATAAAATTATCATTACATGAATGTTATCAGTCATGTTAATTGATCAGGGCAATCAAGTGAATTAACTACATGTAAGGATCATCAGAGTAACACAGAGTTTCACCTTATTGCATCATTAGTTGAGCATAAACAGGAAACATCCCAACAACATGCAAATACCAACTGTTTCAACTCACTATCTTCAGGGATTCATTATCTACCATAGTTTAGATTCCATACTAAACATAATAGAACTCAAAACCAAGTGGACTAGTACAATAAACCAATTGAGTCAAAGCAAATATAAAAGGAATTTGATACATCAATGAACAAGCTGCTCTATGATTGGTCTGATTGTCAGAAGTTGGGCTTGAGTAGCCAATCAGGCAATATCTTATAAGTAGCTTTGCATTGACCTAAAAAAACAAAAAACCATGGTTTTACATTGTCAATTCAACCCATGTACAAAAATGCTAAGTAAATTTGCTCTGAAATAACTCTTTATAAGATGGGATGTACAAAAAAGGCATGTTTTAGCTAGCACCACATTTTGAATAAAAAAGGAAAGAATTCCTTTTGTACCCCAAACCCTACCCTCCAGCACTCCCCATTTAATTGTAAATGCCCCTCCTAAGGACATCTAGAGGGGGCAAATGAATTGGGTAACTGGGAGTGAGTGTTAGAGTTAGGGATGGGGGGTTACTACCATGTAATGAACAGGGTAATCCTTTTACTATGATGAAAAATTTCAAATTTTTTTTGATTATTTCAAACTATTTCACCACTTTATCATACAAGTGAATTCTATAAGACGGAGCTATGACGCGATCCCTAACGTTGCCAGGACCAATCACAAACAAGAATAAACAATGAATTTTTGGGGGATTAACACCTCTGTTTAACTGTTTTTCCTCACGCCAACGAAAAATTTTTTTTTCTTCTACTGACTTCCTGCTCTGGTTTGTCATACCATCACCACATACCATCCTCACTGGGAGACACTGGCTACTCTTATGTGTAACCATATAATCTTTTGAATACCCCAAATAAATTTCTGTTACTTAGTATTAGTTAATTGACCAATATTTAACAAATTTGAATTCCACATGATGCCAATATACTATCAAGATGTGACAATGCAAGTAGTGTGCACATGCTCATTGCATCAAACCACAAAGGAAAAAAATTGTCCAAAAACTAGTATGGTTAAATAAATTAGGCACAAAGGCAGTACAGTGGTCAAATAGAACGGCACATGGACCCTGTACTGCCTGAGTGCAAACTTTGTGGCATTCTCAAGTTTTAAACTATACATATCGTATACCCCGGTAATCAGCTCCCTGATATAATATACATGTTTTCCATACTTGTAGTTATACCAGTAATTAAGTCCAAAATTGTGGGTGAAAAATGTTTTATGAGAATCATGCATTTAGTGACTGGTTCCATTTGAGCGCTTTTGTGGTACATGTCCAATGTAAACAAAGAGAAATGTTTGATTACAACACATTAATAAGGAAAAAAAATGAATATTGGAACTCATGCAAATACATTTTTTTTAAGGAAGTTCATTGTTTTGTAGCTAAATATATATTATTGGAATCTTGTTTGCTTGGCTTGCTAAACAGATTTCTGACTACATTAAAAGTCAGAGCAATATACGATATCGGATAATGGGCTTATTCAACAATTAAACTTTCTGTGCTTTTTAGAATACAATACAGGACAGTGCAGATTATAAAAGTTTATTTATTAGTTGACTTTGACTTTAGTAATCATTTAGACAAGAGAGAATTATTCTTTTATCCTGTACCGACTTAATTCAAACGTGGCCGTGAACAACAAAGCACGGTCCGGGAATGGGGGTATAAGAAGACTATTAAACCATTGTCCAAGCGAGTTTCACAACCGGTTATCAACTACTAGTATTATCTATCTTATTATGAGACGAACCCACTCAATGAAAACGCAACAATCACACGAGGAAAATACACAAACACAAATATAACATGTAAAGAGCCCACCATATTACAGCTAACGTTACCCAACTGAAAAAAAAAATCATTTACCAGTCAAAAATGTCGGTGAAAGTAGATGTGCTGGTAAAGACTGGGCCGCTTGTACGGCAAACAGCTGACTGGCTTCAACATCGGGTGAACTGCTATCTGAGTCAGGACTAAAACCACCATTACCACTTATAGTTAAACCATGCATATTTTGCTGACCTAGTCCATTCTGTACACTCCCAAGTGATCTCGCACGACCACGAGGATTTGAAGAGTTAGAACCAAATATGTTATGATGTTGACCAAAAGAGAACACCCCGGCACCGCCAGCTGTGGTACTGCTAGTTGAGCCACCACTCGGTCCAGCACCAGAGTAAGTCCGAAGACGTGGATTGCTCGTGCTTGGTTTGGCACCCATCTCTGTATTATTCTAAAATAAAGCCTCAGAATGCAGCATAGGGATCGGAACTCCGTTACGCATACATGAAATAAGCGTTTCGTACTTCCATTTAGATAGAAACGGCGGTAAATAATGACTTGTAGTCAGTAACGCAATAACCAAAGGCAGCCATTTTGTTTTCCTGTCTATGTTGTGACCAAAATACAAGATGACGTCACACATTGGTGACCAATCAACAGAAATGCGAACTAATTTACATAACGTGTTCTGGGTGGGTTGATGAACTTCTGAACAAAAACAAAAAAAATACATGTAAAAGCTTGCTAAAATAATAATAACATTAAATAATGTGTCATGATATAGACCAAGCATGCACAACGATATACGATACAATCATGTTAGTAATTGGAAACAGATATTCTTTCTTTTTCATTTTTGAATAAGGTTTGTAGTAAAAAATGGTATATAAGGCGTTTGCATGTAGCAAAGGTAGAATATTGTATCCAATCAGAATTACTGTCAAGTTGACTGGCACTCGAATCAGGCCGGGGAGAACCCTGGTCAACATTAATTAAACACTGGGTTTTAATTTTACTTTAATCTGCCATGATAAATATAAAACTAAACTGACACTTGCGTTTCCACTGTAATTCGTAAATTTAAAACCCTGTTTATATGCATATATTAATACCCTTTTAATGGTTTATTTGCAGTGTATTGTCCAAACCAGAGCAAAAAAAACTACATTGATAGAGGGCGCTGTTGCCAATGCATGCACACGTAGTTCGTATAACCATGCACCTTACAACATGCATTTCTAAGGCCAATGATGTAACACCCAAGAACAAAATACATGTACACATAAAATCATATCTAATACTACATCTAAAGAATCTTATTTCATTTGAATACAGGGACAATATTTTCCAGGGCTCTAAATTTAGGCCGGAGTCATCCCAGTGGGGAAAAAAATTAAGACTATTTTAAGTACTAATAATATACATATACATGTAATAAGAATTCATTATTTACTCAATGCTTATATTGGTTTTGGTTTCATATCAGTAAAATTAAAACTAAATATGTATACGTAATATACTCTATTATTTACTGCATTAGTCTGCCTTATTTTTGCTCAAGACAATTTTTTACATATAACCCTGTTATAGAAGTATTCCTTTCAAATTGAAAGTCAGAAATTTCACCCGCACAGATATCCAAGGCACATATGTACCAAGTTTCATTACAATGTGATCATGGGAAGCCGAAAAGAAAATTATTATGCAAATTAGATCATGAATATGCTCAGATTTCAACCAAAAACTAATCAGATCTGTGCATTGTCCTAGAACATCTATGAACAAAGTTAAATTGAAATGTACTGATGAGTACTTAAAATATCAGCAGAAAAACTTAAAATTGTCCATTCTCTAGAAGTATAGGAACATGAAATAGTCAATGAAAATGCAACAACTTTACTTGCTGGGTAATTGACCTTAGTCAAAATATTTATTTCAAGTGCCCCCCCCCCCCCTTCCCCCAACTCCCCATATCTATGGTTACAAATTCCACCTGCATGTATAAAGGACAAGCCAGCTAAGTTTTGAAAATATTATTTTATTTCAAAACAATATTCTATAATAAAGCACAGCCAATTCAGTCAAGACAATTTACTGTACATTTACAAGATTCAGGTAAAATCTTTTCAGCTGACATCTATTTCCAACACAGGATTTATGTAAAAAAATTTGTTTACACAGGATTTGGAAAAAAATCATTCGAGCACAGGATTTAGATGACAACTATTTCCAGTACAGGATTCCAATGAAAACTATTTCCAGTACAGGAATCAGATGACAACTATTTCCAGCACAGGATTCAGATGACAACCATTTCCAGTACAGGATTCAGATGACAATTCATACAGGACTCAGACAACTTCCAGCTCAGGATGCAAGCAAAACAGATGATGTATTTTCAGTTTTTTTTGTTAATTTAGTCAATTTATTACAAACATAATGGATATTCAGGCAACTCCTGATGGTTTGTGAGATTCTTCAACACTTTTTTCTTTTATTTTTTCATCATCATCATCATTATCATCATTACCAACATTCTTCTCTTTGTTCCAGTCTTGCAGTCCTTCAGGCAGTTCTGTCTCTTCTTCAAAACTACCAGTTCCTTCAACAAATTGTTCATAAGTAGATTTTTCAGCAAATGGTCTCTCTCCAAGCAGTTCTACCATATCCTCTTTGCTGAGGACTTCTTTATTAAGAAGTCTTTGTGCCACCTGAAAAACGAAAACAGACCTTAAAATTTACATATTTGGTGAAACTCCTTTTGTTTACTAACGTGTTCATTTCAATTATTGCTTTGCTACACATGTGTACATTTCAGCCAACCAAAACAACCCAAAATGGTTATATGATGTTATCACCTAAAATAATTGTAATCGTAGAGCTGTCGAAGTGATGCCACACATTATCAGACAGTTTTACGAATAAATGATATCAGGTGATAATCTTTTTATCATATGACCAAATATGAAAGTCCAAATAACGAAGAAATCATAATTTTATGAAATCACAACAATGAATCGTATGCCAATTTCTGCTAAATGAGCCAGACGACTAGGCAAGTCAGTGAACATGCATTTGCAGTTATTGTTTTTGATTATCAGCAGGAATATCACCCTTCTTAGTGATTTCATTTTAAAATAAACTTTTAACAGGCATTATTGTGAGATATCATTAATGCAATGTGCAAGTTATCAAGTTTGTAATTCTCCTATCACTGTTCTAGAAATGGTACAATTTGTTTTTGTCAGCATATTGTTGGAACATGCATACAATAATGGATTTGTAATATCGCGATGTTACAATATCAAATATCACAGTTTTGAATGTACCATGTTCTTGTGAGAAAAGATTAAATGTCTCTATCACATTGATAAAAATAAGGTGAACAGATCCACATAAATAGCATTATTATTCCCATGGATGGGATGGGTCGGGTATTTTATTATCATCTACTTTTAATAGACTTGTGACAAAACAATGAGATTTTTGGTAATATGTTCCCACAGATAAAACCTTATGGACAGAATGGCTAACTGCCAATATGTGCATGAAATAAATAAAGTATAATAATAATAAAGAGCATCTTAAAAAAAAAAAACAGTGATTTCAGTAAAATACTTTATTTTCGCTCAGAATTTATTTCAGCTGATGGGATGATTCAGTGAAAATAAAATCCAGCAAATATATCAAGGATACAGGCTGCCCTGGTTTGCAGACGGGAATCGGGAGCTATACTCACTTTCTCAATGTTTTCTCTATGATTTTGTAACAGACTGACAGTTCTGTCATAGGCACTCCTTATTATACTCCGGACTTCATTATCAATTAATTGAGCTGTCTGTTCACTGTAGGGCTTGTCCATAACCATCTCACCTTGTTGAGGCATATCAAAGGAAACATTGCCAACTTTTTCACTCATGCCAAACTGTACCACCTGCAACAGAAATTAAATAATGATCATTTTGAGCTAAAAGCTATGCAAAAATCAAAGAAAACTGTAGTTATGGGTAGTAATAGGCAAGTTTAGTGGAGGCAAAAACTGAAAGTATAAAGCTAAACAAATGTTTCTGGTCAGTGTGCACCGATCACTAAAAAAGTGTGCACCGATCACTTATTTTGCCAGCCATTTCAACCTTCAAAATGTTTGTGCTATAAAATAATTTAGCAAGAAAATAAAGATAACAAGCCATGCATGGCATAGTCCCTGTTAGTTATCAAATCTAAGTTATTTAGTAATGTAGTACAAGTACTTGTCCATATTGAGAGATACTGCTCTGGAACAGCAACAATTAAAACTAAACGGCTACTGGTCGGCTTTTTTGAATCGGATTGTTAAAACCAAAACATCTGTATATCTATGACATGATTTATAATGAATATATAAAATTTGAACATCAGTCAAAGCATGTCAGAAATATGGCTCTAGAATCACATTCATTTAAACAAAATGGCCAATAGTCCGCCATTTTGAATCCCATCAGAAAATGATGTGCATCTGGGACCCATAATGTGTAATGTATGTACCAAGTTTGAACGAAATCTATCCATAAACGCCAAGATCCAGTTCTGGAATGTCAAAAATGCTTGATTTTTGATGATTATTTAGCACAAAAATATCCAACCATTCGGCCATTTCGAAATGGATCGTCGAATCAATACATCTATGAGATGATGTATAATGAATATTTAAAATTAGAACCCCATTCATAAAAACAAAATGGCCGCCAGTTGGCCATTTTTGAAGTGTGAATGTAATCAGTCCAGGCATGTTTAAGATATAGATGCATGCATAGATGCACAAACACACAAAGGTCAATCCATAAGTCTCTGTTTTCAGACTACATCAGAACAAGGACTAAAAAAACAACCATCTACCGGGGTAACCACCAATTTGTGAAAGAAGCTTGACCTGAAACGCTTGTTTTTTTTATCTCAAAATGAATGGCAACTTATTAAATAAATTGAAAGTAGACAATATTTAATAAAATCAAGCAAGCAAATGATAACTGAAACTTTTTTTACTTAGTAACGAGAAGTTATCACATGAAAATGCTAGAAATTAAGGACATGAGCATGCATACACACCTACACAAATTCAGAATCATTTTGTACTTGGCACACAGACTCCAAAAAAAAAAAGGTAACCTACATAGAAAGTGAAAAGTTATTAACCTGTGCATAAGCAGTCTGTGTAACCTTCTTGAGGTCATCTTGAGCACCTGTGGTAATCCTACCAAAGACTAACTCTTCTGATACTCTACCACCTAATGTCATACACATTCTATCCAGTAACTGTTCTTTGCTGTATAAATACTGCTCTTTTGGAAGGTACTGAGCATAACCCAAACCTTTACCTCTAGGGATTATTGATACCTACAAGAAAATAGCAAACGTAATGAAAATATCACAAAAGACGATTTATGGCTTGAATTCTAGTATTATGTAGTATTTTTGTAAATGTATGATTTGAAATAGTGTAAGAATCCTGAAAGATGTTGTTTCATTTTGCTCACTTGTTTAGCACGAGACAGTGAATGTGTGCGTCATGAAACAACGTTGAACAAACCTATAAATTGTTGACGTATTCAAACATAATATCACATAAACCATAACCCACTGCCACAATAAAGTTTTTTTTTGATCAAATGACTCATTCATAATTTTGATTGTTTTTAAATTTAACACACATTCCTATAAATGATATTTGGGGGTCTGTTATTAGGCCTGTAGATTTGTTAAATAGTTTTATTACTATGACATAAAAGACATGGTGAAAGCAATTGCATTCAAAGTGTTTGTTGGTTTCTCATTTTGAAAAGAAGCAAAAAGATACCTTTAGCAATGGGTCTGCATGTTCTAAGAACCAACCGGCTACTGCATGGCCAGCTTCATGATAAGCCACAGTCTTCTTCTCTTCAGGCTGCAACACTTGTGTTTTCTTTTCAAGACCTGGAGATTATTATTGAAATACTGAGTTATATCATTTACAAAGTGAAATGAACCACTCAATGTCAATAAGTACAATATAGAATGAACTAGACTACTTAACAAAGAACAGAAGTAACTAATAGAAGCAGCACTGTGACTGAGCATAGACCATAATGTAATCATTTGGACAGTTTAGTTTCTTATTCTAAGCCAAGAAGTTGGGGTTAGGTTAAGCTGACAGGTTACTTTAAATATTTCGTCACCGGTTTGTGGTCACATGATTCTAATTTCATATGCAAATAGTGTCTGTCAGGATTAGCAACCAATCAGAACTTATAAACTGCTTTTTCTACACAAGTTTGGCATGCTCTAATTGGTTGATAAGTACTCTAAGAAGGAGTGTTGCCAAACATGATTCTGCAAGGGTATTAGTAGTTAGTCAGATGTAGTTTGAGGCATGTACACCAGCAGCCACAAACCTCCACCCACAACAGATTTTTATAAGATTGGGGTTAGATGTAAGAGTGAAATTGGTCACGCCTGAATGGACATGTCATGGATTTTGTGAGAGTGAATGAATCACACTGTCTTCACATTGAAGTGAATGCAAGCATGAAGACCAGTAAACAGATTCAATGCTGGATGAACTAAGCACTTAGTTCTAGGTCA